GTGGGTGTGCCCAGGCCAGACAGTGAGACTGTGCACGGGGTCAGGGACCCCAGAAGAGTGTTGAATTTTTTACTGCACGTGTTTAGAAATGCAGAGTCATGCTGAACATAAGGGTTGAGATGTCAGTTCTCTGGTCGTTGAGCGCATGCAGGCAAACAGAGCCCCCCGAGATGCAGTCCGGAACTTACAGGGCTCATGGTCGTGTCAGCCCACACATGAGCTCTCCCTGCCACACTGAGTGATCCCACCCAAAGACGACTGGATTGTCCCTAAACCAGAAGAGGAGGTTGCACAGAAGAAAAAGCTATCCCTGAGGAAACTGAAGAAACAAAAACTTGCAGCCCGGGAGTAAATTCTGCTGAGAATAAATGCCCAAAAAAAAAGCTTGTTTCCTATTTTGTTTACCAGATTGTACAACTTTTGCTAAGTTCTTTTTTTTTTTTTTTTAAGATTTTATTTATTTATTTTTTTTGACACAGAGCACAAGTCGGGGGAGCAGGAGAGGAAGAAGCCGCCTCCCTGCTGAGCAGGGAGCCTAATGCAGGGCTCTATCCTAGGACCCTGGGATCATGACCTGAGCCTAAAGCGGACGCTTAACCAACTGAGCCATCCAGGCGCCCTATTGCTAAGTTCTGAAGTGTTGTTTAAGGCACAAAGTGGCCTAGAATTCGGTGTATCTCTCTGGGGAGAGTAAAGCCAAATGAATTAGAGAAAGATGTAGGTATTTAAGCTCTCGAGGTTCTTGTAGTGCCAACTTATAATATGTTCTGGATGCCAGGGGGGGCAGGGGACCATCTTCTAGGAGAGACTGTGGAGGGCAGAATGAATTCTCAAAAAGGCGTGTAACTCCTTGGCGAGAGGCTAAGGTATATTGGGACAAAGAAAAAGCCGCTCCCAGAGGAGACTCAGAATCAGGGCACAGAAGGCCACGGTGTTTATCGTTGGCACCGAGAGTGCGGGCGTGCCCTGTGACTCTGTAATCCTGGTCCCTGGAAATGACCAAATGTCCACATTTCTAGCAGTTGCTGAATCATGCTTTTTCCAGCCAATACTTTGCGTTTGCTAGGGTATCACACTTGACAATGGGCCTGAGCTGGCTTCGAGTGATTCAGGAGGTGCATAAAGCCGGAGGAATTGTACTGAGCAGGACAGATGAGTTCATATTTCCTTTCCCGTGGCGTGTGCGTCGCTCACCGCTGCTGTCCGTGTATAGCTGTTTCCGCAGGCCGGTGCGTCCCGGGCAGCCAAGGCTGCACTCAGCGGGCTCTCGGGAACGAGCTGTGGCTTGTGCTCCGCTCCTCATCGGCTGTGTCAGCAGACATCCCCCGTTAGGCACAGTAGGCGTGTGGCCAGTCTTTCCCCGGTTACTTTAACAGATACAATTTAGAAGAGCTCTTCCACTTCTGAAGTAATTTTTTTGCCTCGTAAGTGAAATAATTTGCTCAGTTGTGGAAGGGGGCAAAAAAGGGCAATGAGGACTGTTGGATTGTTACATTTATTGCACTGCCAGGCCTATATGATATTTATGCCATTATAAATGCAGTGTAATAATCTAATCGTGCAGCATTTGTCTCAATGAGTAGATAGAAGAAAAGAAATGCAGGCCAAATCCCAATCAGTAGCTTGGGAACGTGGCCTGCGATTGTTGGAATCCCGTAGCATTCCAGACTTCGAAAGCCAGCCGTCCTGGATCGCAGAACAAAGACTGTGCGGAGTAATCTCAGGTGCTGTAGGCAAACCGGGTGCCCTGATTTCAGCAGCAGCTCTACGTCTGTAAAGCGGTGCGGTGCTCATCACGGTGTTGTGTCCACACCGCCGTTCGGCTGAAAAGTGCGGTTAGAAATGTTGGCGGCTGAGTCTTAAGGCTTCCTTTGCCACCTTTGTAGGAAGGTGCTCAGAAGTGCCTGGACACCTGCCGCGTGGCGGGCATCACGCTGGACACGCAGCCAGAGGGTTGGACCGGTTCGGGCTGGGCTGCCACTGGCAGTAGGACGTGGGCAAAGCACTCATATAGAGTGTGGCCAACGTGCCTTCCAGAGATTTCCTCCGGCTCTGAAATCCCGTGACTCCTCTGCCCGCCTCCTTGCTCCCGCCTGCCTGTCAGCTGCTCTCAGGCTCGCTGCCCCTGGGCCTGCTCCCTGCACAGACCGGCCTGACACCTTCCTCACCGCCGGAGGCCGAAGGTCGCCTCTCCCCTCCTAGCGCCTCACTCTCCACAAAAGCACCTTCTGCTGTCTAGCTTCGTTCATTTTATTTTATTTTCCAGTTTTCTGTTCTTGATGGTGATACCGTCACCCTACTATTAGTTAGAAATCATAGAATGTTTGTTTCTTCTTAGGCATCTTACTCTGCTAGTGAGTACTGCTCATGCTGCCTTTGCAGTTAATGTCCCTTGGTTTTATTACTTCTAAGTTCTGAGTCCAAGCTTTTCCCTTTTCTTCCTTCGATTATTATTATGATATCCTTAACCTTCCACCCACCCAAATATTTATTATCCCTATTATGTATCAGGTCCTCTGTTATGTATTGGGGAAAGTATGAACCATACACATTCAGTGTAAGGACTCCCCAGTCTAGTGGGGAGACACAAATTCAAGCAAATGGTTTAATTTAATTTAATGTATTTATTTTTATTTTATTTTATTTTTATTTATTCATTTGAGAGAGATGGAGAAAGAAAGCACAAGCAGGGGGAGAGGCAGAGGGAGGGGGAGAAGCAGACTCCCCACTGAGCTGGGAGCCCGACATGGGGCTCGATCCCAGGACCTGGAGATCATGACCTGAGCTGAAGGCAGAGACGCTGCTTAACCTCCTGAGCCACCCAGGTACCCCTCAAACAAACAGTTTTAATATGGTTTTCACAAGAATGATATTTAAAGTCTCAGCTAGACACCTAGAGAGTGGACCCTGATATGAAGGGAATCAGGTTAAAAAGGAAGGGTTTGGCAGGAATTGAAAAATTAGTTGCTAGGAAATGAGGGAGGCAGCAAATTTTATGTGAAAAAATACAGGATTGTATACTCTAATATTGTACATTATTAGATATATACAATATATATAATAGTATATAGTATTAGAGTATACTCTAATATTAAGTACTCAAAATATTTTTGTTGAAAAGTAAAAGGAATTTGTTCATCCATCAAATATTTATTGAGTAAAATTGCTTGAGATTATTTGGTGACTGAAATGGGTCTCTGGTCTCCCAGAGCTCCTAGTCTAACGGGGTGGGCGGACCCCAGGAACAGACCAGCAGCTGCAGGAAGGGTGATTCGTGTATGGCCACTGGCTAGTGCCCTGTGGGATGGCAGTAAGCCTTGTGGAGCAAATGTCCCAGGAGCTTAGACTTGAAGGGTGACTCATCCCCTCCACCCCTTTTACAGAGAAGAAACTGAAGCTTAGAGAATTGTGATTTACAAATAACAAAGTAGTTGGGGCACGTGGCTGGCTCAGTCAGAAGAGCGTGCAACTCTTGATCTCGGGGTCGTGAGTTCAAGCCCCACGTTGGGTGAAGAGATTACTAAACAAACAAATAAAAAACGAACTAGTAGCAAGCCAGGCTACTGGAGGTCTGGACTTTGGTCCCTGGAGTGCCTTGTCGTTTCCTGCTGTGCCCTGATTCCACATTTTCTGGGTGCAGTACCCTAAACCTTCATCTTTCACAGAACAAAGCGGGCGCTGAATAAATTAATTACTGATTAGTTTTCAACCTGTTAACAAGGCTGACACCTGTCTTAAAATGAAGGAACTACATTTGCACTATTAATCATTGGGGATTAGCATTCTATAGCAGTAATGTTTTGGAGTGATGATTTCTGGTTGTGTTTATTCTTCAAATTACAGTGAGGATTAAAATCTAAGAGTTCTATGATGGGTGTACTAAATAGCAAATCTCAAAATAATTAAACATGTTAAAACTTTTAAGTACCTTAGCTCTATTTACAAAACCCTCTTGGGATGATTTATTTTAAAGACACATGTAACAGAGCATGGCTTACTTACAGAACCTAAGGTTACAGCATACAGATGAAACAAGTACTTTCCACTCCCCTCATTATTGCACAAATAAACTTAACAAAGCCAATTGGTCTATAGTACATTTTCAGTAAAAGGATTTTTTAATATAAATGACTCAACAGCAGCCTTGGAATTGACTCTTTCCAAACATGGATGGATTGGTTGACTAGCTCAGTGAGCCTGTTTTACATTGTGTCTAGATGATGAATACCGATGTGTTTTAGCTTCTGTTACCAGGGAAGTGAGTAGGCTTATCCAGTTATTTTGTTACAATCATTTGGGTTTAAATGTGCATGCTTTAATTTGGAGTCACTATTTTTCATTGAGAGGCTATTTAATATTTACATTACTTAAAACATAGTAGTTGATACCAGAAACCATATATTTTTTTAAGATCTTACTTAAATTCAACTTAGTTAACATACAGTGCAACCAGAAACCATATTTTTGATGGAGCTTTCTTGTAACCAGGAAGAAAATAACAGTCTGTAAATAAATTAGTCTTTTCAGAAACACAGCTGAGATTAAAAATATTTTTTTAATTTTGCTTTTATTTTTATCTGCATTTTTTTTTCATCTGGAGGAAGTCCAACTTTCACAGTCCCTGCTAACTCTTAAACTTTTTTTTTTTTTAAGATTTTATTTATTTTTTTTCTCACAGAGAAAGAGAGAGTGCAAGATGGGGGAGAGGCAGGCAGAGGGAAAGCAGACTCCTGCTGAGCAAGGAGCCCCATGCGGGACTCTATCCTAGGACGCTGGAATCATGAATTGAGCTGAAGGCAGACACTTAATGACTGAGCCACCCATTCCTTTTTAATAGGAATGACTCTGCGCGTAACACAGACTGTTCTGAGTTTCACTGAGTGAGAGATAGTGCAGCCCACTGATGATTCTCTGGTGGAGGAAAGATTTATAAGATGAACCCTTGTCTTTTGGTGGTTCTCTCCAAGGAAGCTGATCCTGTCTCATTTTTCCCCCGAAAGGTTCCTCAGTGGTGTGCCGAGTACTGCCTCTCCATCCACTACCAGCACGGGGGCGTGGTATGCACACAGGTGCACAAACCCACGGCGGTGCAGCTCGCCCTGCGCGTGGCAGACGAGATGGATGTGAACATTGGCCATGAAGTTGGCTACGTTATCCCCTTTGAAAACTGCTGCACCAGCGAAACCATCCTGAGGTGGGTTTGGGGGGCTTGGGTCTGCTGTGCTTGAAGATGTTCAGCTTGTGTTCTGTGATCCCACAAGAGCGTATTCTTGTGTTCTACGTCTTATAATGTGTCCTAGTGACTGGTCGCTTCATCACCAGCCAAATGTGCGCTGGTGGTTTTCCTACACTGGCATCACCAGGGGTTTCTTGTCTAAACTTCTTCCATGTCTCCCCATAATCCTCACGGAAAAATGATAACTTGTTAGGTTGGGCCCAAAGGCCATCAAGTTTGTGCTTCTCGAGCTTCTCCTCATGATGGGTCCATACAAGTTATCTGTGCGGCTGCCAAGTTGACACATGCGTGTGGTTCTCCTGTGCCCCATGCCCTCTGCTTGGAATGCTGATGCCTCTTCTGGACATGGCTGATGCCTCTTCTGGACATGGCTGATTCCTTCTAGGTGTGCGAGACCCCATGCAAGGCTCACCTACTCCAGGAAGGCTTCCCTCACCCTCCCGTGCTGTGCGTTAGAAAACACTCCACCAGGCCTCTTTAAAACTTGGCACCAGCCTCCATCATGGCAGGTTCGATCAGTGTTTGTCTAACTCTGCTTTTCAGAGTCTTACAGGTTCCCAGGATCCTTCTCAATAACTACCACAGGTTGAGGGAAAAGGGCATCTTTTTTATCTCTGTTTTTAGCTTCACTGTGAGATGTCCTTTGCACAGAGGGTTCTAAGAGTTTAACACGCAGAGGCGAAGAGAAAAGAAAAACGTAATTTGAAAAAAGCAGTGCTCTGGGCCAGTGTTTCTCAGGAAGTTTTATATCATAGCCCACCTAGAAAATGGAATTATCTAACAGCACCTCAAAGAAATGGTCAAAGCTGCTTGGCCATCCCAAGGACTTCAGCTGCCCCAGGCACTACCTGACCGCTCCAAGGGCTAAGGAGACAAGTGTCTTGGGAACAGTATGTCTGCACATCTGTAATTCCTTTGTGTGACACACCACTGGGGAACTTCTGCTCTAGTGTAACACGGTTGGCATATATGGTGTGGTGTGTGGTGTGGTATGGTGTGTGATATGGTGTGGTGTGGTGTGTGTGGTGTGGTATGGGGTGATGTGGTGTGATGTGGTATGGTGTGGTATGGGGTGGTCTGGTGTGGTATGGTATGATGTGGTGTGGTGTAGTATGGTGTGTGGTATGATGTGTGATGTGGTATGGTGTGGTGTGGTTTGGTGTGTGGTGTTTGGTGTTGTATGGGGTGGTGTGGCGTGGTATGGTGAGTGATGTGTGGTATGGTTATGGTGTGGTGTGGTATGGTATGGTATGGTGTGTGATGTGGTGTGGTATGGTGTGGTGTGGTGTGGTGTGGTGCGGTATGGTATGGTATGGTGTGTGATGTGGTGTGGTATGGTGTGGTGTGGTGTGTGGTGTGGTATGGGGTGGTGTGGTGTGGTACAGGGTAGTAGGTGCTGGCTCTTGCATCCTCATATCCCCAGGATCTGACATGCTTGTTTCAGAGAACATTCAACAAATTTACTAGTGGAAGGAAGGAGTAGTGCCCACTCCTAGCTAGCTGGAGAGCTTAGAGCCTCTCATGGTAAAGTCTGGAGACTTTTCCCATTCAGAAAGGCCATGTGACTCATGGGGTCTGTACTAAGCTGCTTTCCTTCAAATGTTTACCTTTAAAAATGGAAGACACAGGTCTTCCGGTTAGCGTTTAATCATAGGGAATCTTTCCATCAACAACAATAGGACTTGAACTTCTTGAAGATATCTTGCCTCCTGCTTTTATAGCCACAGTGTCCCCGAGTCATCAAATTAGTGTATATGCATAAACTCTATTATACAAATGATCTATGAGAGATACAGATGAACTAGGTAAGAACCTCCTTGTGAGAGTTGGAGAGGACAGGATATCGGACCCTTCACAGGAGTGAAGGATCCCCACGCTTGACAGATTCATTCTTTATCCTTTACATTTTGAAGTGACCTTTCAAATGGTCGTGGTATTAATTAAGGGACAGCTCTGACTACAGTCTGAAGTCAGTATAGGTATTTTTATATCTGGATTTTTTTTTACATCTGGATTTTATTTTTACATCTGGATTTTTATATCTTTAATGCCATCTGGACTTTTACATCTTTAATGCCACCTTTTGTCAGGAACTCTTGGATGTAGTCAGTTTTAAAATGCAATATTACAGTATTGCTAATTAATACGGATCAAGTGTATACACATACACACACACACACACACACACACATACACACATACACACTATTTTTTAAAAAGCCACAGAGATAAATAATTGTGTAGGTCGAAGATACATCTCTCGCTGGGACTTGGCTTCCATGTGATTATTTTATGGGAACCCCCCCCACCACCACCCAAGCGTTCAGTCATGACGGCCAAAAGAAGGGCTACAATTCATGTTGACATTGGTGTAGTTCTTATCTGCGCACTGCATTCGCTCTTCGTATGGACAACAGCTTTCAGCTGCAGGGCCACTGAGGCACAGGTACACCTCTGGAGGCGGTGGGGCTGGGTGACTGGCCTTGGCCCCAGCAGTTCTGCTTTCTGCTGCCTTGGTGGTGGGGGGGAGGCTGGCCCTCACGCTGTCTTTTGTGTCTGCACTTTGCCATTATTCTCATTGCCAGGAGACTGTTCTTTCTTTCCCCCTGACAGCCCCCAGCCAGTGCAGAGTCAGCAGTACCCTGATTTGTTGCTAACAGAGTCTGAGTTGCAGCAAAGAGGCTCAAACTAGTGAAAAGCCCCCTATGATAGAAGAAAGCAGCCCCCATCTCCCTCCTCGGATTCTGTGCTCTGAATAGGAGGCAGCGTGGCTGGAAGAGGAGTGTCCCCCACCACTTCCTCCCCGGAGCCCCGCACAGGCCACCTGACCTCTGCGGCTCAGGCTTCCTCGTCCTGTAAGATGGGGCTCTTATCCTGCCTGCTCACAGGGTTATTGTGGGGACGACACGAACATGTGGGGCCGACACGTGTGAGCACCTTATATGTGTTAGCTAAATTTTGATTCTCTAGGTAAATCGGAAGCAGGTTCATTTTCTTAGAGATCTGTGTGAGCCACAATTTTTAAAAAGCTCAGATTGAATAGCTATTTAAATGAGAGCCTTTAAAGTGACCTGTTGATTACGGAAGGCAGTGTTCCATACTTGCTATTGTCTTTTTCATTTTCTTTGTAGCCCCTTAGTATCTCATTTGTTAGGCACATAATAGACCCTTAGTAAATATAATCTTTATGCCTAGTACCATTCATTTTGGATGTTGTATGTAACAACTTAGTTCTTCTATAAGCTTTTTCATGGTCTTTTTTGAAACAGTGGATACTATTTAAAAAAAAATATATATATATATATATAAAACATAAGTATTATATACCTAAAATAGTCTTTCTGAACCAGGTGTCCAGACTTGTAGAAGTGATACATAAATTTCAAATAGAACACAGATTTTTAAAAAATGACTCCTGTTTTCATTCAAGGTCAAATTTGCTACATTTAATTTCAGAAAATATTAATAAAACTACCCAATGTTTTATTTTTAGCTTTCTAAAATTCTGTTTTAGGGATTTGAAATATAAACTACATTTCCTGAAACCTTCACAATCTGTACTTTTTTTTAAAATAGTTATCAGGAGCAGCACTTTTTAAAGCACTGTACACATGATTTTATTAACACAAAGGTAGGAAATAGATCTCTATGTTATGGAGAAAATTAGAGGTTTGTATAGTTTTAGGATTAAGCCTTAGTATTGCCTTAGTGTTACATAATCAACTGGAAGGCCCAGGCCTTGCTGAGTCTAGTGGAGTTTAAATAAGTCACCATCTTCCTCTTTTTAATGAAGCCTTGAAATATTTCTGTAAAACACCACCTCCTCCTGGCAGTGAACATTTCTCCCTGTAAGATCAGTGCTTAGATGAGTTTTTGTTGAGAAGGGAATAGATTTAATTTCTCACGTGAAGGAAGTAGCGTAGATTTAAATAACCTGTTTTTAGACCAGAGTCCATAGTAACGTGTGATTCTGTCCCACTAAGTACCCCCGTTAGAGAGAGGGCATGGCGAAGACATCTGTGGTGTCGTTTGGAATCTCTGGGTTTTCTTAAGGGCCTCTGACGTTCCTCCTGCTTCTTCACAGGTATTGTACGGATGACATGTTGCAGAGAGAGATGATGTCCAGCCCTTTTTTGGGCACCTATGGGGTCATCATCTTGGACGACGTCCACGAAAGAAGCATCGCCACCGACGTGTTGCTTGGTCTTCTGAAGGATGTCTTACTGGCGCGGCCGGAGCTGAAGCTCATCATTAACTCCTCCCCGCACCTGGTCAGCAAACTCAGCTCTTACTACGGCAATGTGCCTCTCGTAGAAGTGAGAAAGCAGCACCCTGTGGAGGTTGTGCACCTGAGCAGCACTCAGAAGGAATCTTTTGAGTCTATTTTACGCCTTATCTTTGAAATTCACCAGTCCGGCGAGAAGGGGGACATTGTGGTCTTTCTGGCCTGTGAACAAGTAAGTCATATTCTGGCCTCATGGAGTCATTGGGTTCCCTAGGGGGAACCTTTTAGGCTCGTTGGGAAACTTTTAATAATTAACATCCAGGTGTCCGTTTGCTGACTCACTGTTTAAATATTTGGTTACAACACACCCTTTTTTTTTTTTTTTTTAAGTTCTTGGGAAGCCATGTGGCATGGTAAATAAGATGGGAGGGCTTCTGAAATCGCAAGCTGTGAGAGCAGGGGACAGGGGAGGCGCTCGGGACTCCACAGTGGGGTTCTCCAGAGCCCTGGGGCTGGCTCTCAGCTGCACCTGCGTGCTCGGATGGTCTCGGAGAGATGCTCGCTGACTACTGCTATGCTCTCGGCTGCCTCCCACCTGACCAGGAGCATTCGCTGCACTGGAGGACTGTACCCTAAGCACTTGACCTAGGGCGAAGGAACAAAAAAAGTTCCCACAGATGGTCTTACAATGGTCGGTGGGGTGTGAGGCAGAAAGGCATCATTTATAGCACAACCAGAAGGCTTTCTCCCTGCCCTGGGGCTCCTCTTCTGTAAGATGAATGAGAAGAATCTGGCTGGATTCTAGAAGATGAGTTTTTAGGAGAACAGGGGGAAATGTATTACTGAGCATATGCTACTGCTTTTACATCCTCAAGGTGCCCTTTGGGGTTGCACTGGATTTTGTTTTTAATTGCAGCTACTCAGTGGCCCTACTTCCCCTCTAGTGCTCTGTTGGCCCAATCTGGAAGCCTCCAGACTCTCAAGAATTATACCTTTCTTCTTAGAGACTAGTTTCCTGGCCGTTTTTTCCTACCCATCATCTTACTTAGTAAAAGTACCAGTTTTTAGTAGACCATGACCCAAATATGTAGTGATTCCAGTGACGAAGCAGAAACCAAAAAGGAAATTGTTTGATACTGGCTCAGCCACTAGCTGAACAAAGACAAGGTTCTCAGCTCTCCATCAGAGTCTTAAGTTTCACATGCTTTCAGAAATACTTACACAAGTATTTATTCTGTTTTATGTTCAGAGCATAAAGGATGACTGACCCTCCTAGCTTCAGGAACTTTAGACGGATTTTACCTGCTTCCACAAAGTAATTTAGAATCTCAAATGTATGATAACTATGGCATGTTTCTCCATTTTTCATGTACGAAGTTTCTTCAGTAGGAGATCATTCTATTATCATTTCCTAATCCTGCATGATTCAAGATAGTTGAGAAAGTCCTGAGAAAAGTGATAAAATGTTAAGCAGTGAGGAGAAGGGAAGCGAATGAAGGGAAGGGAAGAATGGCAGAATTAGTGTGAAAGTCAGTCACCCAGTGACAAAAGACATATGTTTGGGGGGAGGAGGGGCGTATAATTAAGACTGATGGAATGAGTAGTCCTCCTTCAAGTCAGAGCAAAAAATCCCAAGTGGATTTTTTTTTTAAGACTTTATTTTTAGGGGGCGCCTGGGTGGCTCAGTGGGTTAAAGCCTCTGCCTTCAGCTTAGGTCATGATCTCAGGGTCCTGGGATCAAGCCCCGCATCGGGCTCTCTGCTCAGCAAGGAGCCTGCTTCCTCCTCTCTCTCTCTGCCTGCCACTCTGCCTGCTTGTGATCTCTGTCTGTCAAATAAATAAATAAAATCTTAAAAAAAAATTTAAAAAAAAAAAGACTTTATTTTTAGGGGGGTGGGAAGAGCAGAGGGAGCGAGACAAGCAGACTCTGTGCTGAGTGCAGAGCCTGACGCGGGGCTCCATCCCGTGACCCGAGCTGAAATCAAGAGTTGGTGCTTAACTGACTGAGCCACCCAGGAGCCCCCAAAATGGATTTTTGCAAAATAAAGTTCCTAACAGTTGGGGATAGTGGATGGTCTTAAGAAAGGTATTTGATTCTTACAAGTTTAATATAAGCTATAATTAATGGCATGGTGACTTTAAATGTCAGACCTTAGGAGATGCATCTTGACCCAGGCTGGTAGTAGAACTCAGGGCTTACAAAGGCATGTAACCTTTCTTGAAGTTGGACCTGAAGGACATTTCCTGTTAAGACACCGTAGTCTTGTAGTGCCTGAAACTCTGGCAAGTGATGGTGTGATGAAGGCTGTGGGCCGGAATTTGTGATTCCAAGCTCTGAGAGTGAGGCCGTGATGTTGGGCGGGAGGTGGGCTGCAGGTCTGACCTGGGTCCTGGGATCTCTGAGGGAGGCCCCCCTCCGGCTTCCGCTTTGCTCACAGTTCAGCTCTGAACCCCGCAGCTGGAGTCTGCTTCTCCCCACGTCCCCCCAGCAAACTGCACACACGGTTCATCTCCTGACGGACGTTACTCTTTTCTTCTTTACCACTTACGTCAGCATTTCCTTAAGATATTCCTCTCCCGGGCGCCTGGGTGTCTCAGTCTGTTAAGCATCTGGCTTCTGATTTCTCCGTAGGTCATGATCTCAGGGTCACGGGATGTCGGGCTTTGTGCAATGTGGAATCTGCTGGAAGTTCTCCCTCTCCCTCTGCCTGTGCCCTCCATGACAACCCTGCTTGTGCGCACACATGCTCTCTCTCTTAAAAAAAAAAAAAAAGGAAAGAGAAGAAGAAAAGATACTCCTTTCCTGTGGTCTTGCAATCTGTCTCTTTGAAAACCTCGCCCCGCTCTGAAATCCGTGTTGACAGCCACTGATCATTTTCCTCCCGCACTATTTGAAGCTTTCTTAATTTCCATATAAAATTTTCAAGTCTGCCATGGCAGTTAAATGTCCTAGGAATGCAGGCAGTTAAGTACATGACCAGAAACGTGCTGCTTGTCATTTTTTAGGTTAAGAGCTACACTTATAATTGCAGAAATGCTCTCCACCATTTCGGGTTGGTGAGCACCGGGTGCCTCCCTCGAGCTGTGAGCACCAGCCCAGCCGCCCCCCAACCCCGGCTGAATCTGTCCTCTCGGCCATCTACTGCCCCAAGTCTTCACACATAATGGACTTTGAGCCCTCGGTGTTTCTGGTTCCTCATCACTTAACTTTTAACCTGGAAAAGTGAAATGTTATGTAGAGAACAAAGTTGAGATTTATGGTCCCATCAGCCCAATTATGGTGCCCCTCTAAATTGTTCCAGAAAGGCACTGTGAGGTTGAAGGTTTTCTGCAAAGTGCTCTGTACAGTTTCAGGCCTTCCATTTGGGGCCCGGGGATCTCCTTTCAGTGCATCTTGTGCTTTCCATGGCTTTGCAGGGGATTCTAGGAAGGCCCCACATAGATCAGCGCACTGTACCCATTGGATAAGACGGAAATGCATAAACGGTTGGAAGAACCAGATAAGTATGTTGAGCTTTTTTTTTTTTTTTCCCCAAATTCTGAACGTTATAGTCTTAGAGACCCATGTCAGCTGAGCCTGAGGAGTCTAAACCACACACTGCATCGGGTTCTGTTTTGCTCCGCTTTTTTCCTTTTGAAGATTTCTTTTATGCCTTTTTCTTTCTCCATTTGGGACAAAACTCAACCTAAGAATCCACCTATAACCAAGAAGATCTAGCAACTAGAAGCAAATTAAAAATGAGTGGCCCAAATTACCTTTTAAATGGTACTCTAAGAGAAAGAGAAATGTTTGGGTGTGATTTGAAGGTTTATTTTGAAAAATAATTGGTCACAAGCGGGCTGCTGGAATCCATCTCCTTTTCCAACTCCAGTAGCCCCTGTAGGCAGCCTACTCGAGGGGGTCATCCGGGAGGAACAGAGGATGTCCTGGGGAGGCAACTGGTGGCCAGTGGCGGGGACACACAGCCCACTTTCCTGCTTTCCCTGTAATTTCCTACAGGCTGTTCTCACATATGTTGAGGACATGATCAGAATTATAAGTTTGTTCCGATTGTCCTAATTGGCAAGTTTTCATTATGATCAGTAGTTACACTCTGCTTGGTAGACCTCTGCCCCCACGAAGCCACCTCTTTAGGGGCACGTACACAGAACGTGGCTGGACACCTGCTCACGCAGAGGCCTCTGGCCCACTTCCTGGGGCCTCCCCGCAGCTCAGGAATAACTTTCAGATGGCTCACCGTGATGCCGTTTTTCCAGGCAGATCTGTCCTACAAAACCCTCCTGTTAACCCTCTTCTGCAAATGAACTGAAGGAAGGAGAGTGAGTGAGCGAGTGCACTAGAAAACGGAACAGGTCTTAAAACCCAAACAGTCACGGAAAGTCATTTTTTTTCTTTAGAATTTTTGTGAAATTCATGAGGCTTCTTCCATTTGGTAGTTAGTTGGGCCCTTAAGAAAGTAGAAATTTTAGAAACCTAAATGAAAATGGTATAAGAATTAAGTGACATCTTTTTTACATGAGGTCCTAAAAAACTAGTTGTACTTGAGAAATAGAAAAATACTGTCTAAAACACGCTGCCTTTTGAGTGTTTTGCACCACTTACTTCTGTATAGTTTTAGGGGAAATTATTTTTTTTTCCAATACATTTGGCAGTGAAACAATTTAAAAGGGTATTTCTAAATGCCTGAGTCATGCCAAGGTGTGTGAATTAGCAGTGAATATTTCCTGCCTACTTCATTGCTTGTATGTTGTCTTAAGGTGCTAAGGGGTCAAGACAACTTTCAGAGTGACCCAGAGACCCTGATTACAGAATGTGTGTGTGTACATGCTTTTATTGGACACCCAGCACTTGTTTTGTAATTCTTAACTCTGCCACCATTAGAGCATCATCACTGATGTGAAAATAACTTAGGTTTACCCATCATTGGTAATGGATTTGAGAAACTGCATCAAGCTAGAAACATAGGGTAAGTGCATGAAGGCACAAATAGCACATTTCACAAGAGGAAAACCATTCTGGACTAAAAGCAATGAAATTGTTTATAAATTATATTTAACTTCCCCAAAGAAACGTTCTCATCCAGTTATATCTCTTCATGTACTGACTTACACAGACGACGACACAGGTCTTTCCTTGTATATATTATGTAGCTTTTGCCTATAGTTTTATTTAATTAGACATTTTTTTCATTAGACTTTTTTTTTAAGTAGTAAAGTTGTTTGTGACATGTTTCTTCTCATGGATGATACTGTTTTTTACTTTAGGATATTGAGAAAGCCTATGAAATCGTCTGTCAAGAAGGATCTAACTTAAACCCAGATCTTGGAGAGCTGGTGGTCATTCCTTTGTATCCAAAAGAGAAATGTGCGTTGTTCAAGCCAAATGATGAAACAGAAAAGAGATGCCAAGTTTATCAGAGAAGAGTGCTGTTGACTGCTAGCTCTGGAGAGTCTCTGATCTGGAGCAACACAGTCAAATTTGTTATTGATGTGGGTGTGGAAAGGAGAAAGGTAATTACTATCAAGTCGGTAAACCCTCTGCTGGTAATTGTCCTTGGGTTCCTGCCACCATATCCACTGGGAAGTGAGGACAAAGCCTGTGATCTGGGAGAGGGGGCTCCCTGATGGGCTCCCCTGCACAAAGGGAAAGTACTGCAAGGCTTGTTTACCCGGTCGGGCCTCTCATTAGCAGGTAGGTAATCCCCAAACCGAGTTGATTTCAGGTGCCACGGGAAAACGTCCTGAGAACAGACACAACTACTAAGGCATAAAGGCGGTGGATCTCCTTGTCAGTGGTTTTTCTTCAGCTCTGATGCCAGCAAGGCAAAGTGTCGGACTTCTCATCAGCCTTTCCCTGTGTACATCTCCTGAGTATTTTTGGTAGCCCCGTAACCAAAATGATTAGGGTCTTCCCTGAGGTACCGGAAATTAGTTTCAAGTATATGGACTTTCATCTTACCAAGTTTTAGCTTGAATGTTGATATGATAAAATTACTACCTTTAAAGAAAAAAATTAGAAAAAGGGAAGTAGATCTCAAACTCTCAAAGACACTGGAACATAAATCCTAGCGTTTAAGAACTGAAAGAACCTCCCCAAGTACTGATCTGTTCCACGTTATCAGCAGTTATGTAGCTTTTATCCCTCGAGGAAACCGGAACTTCTGAGTATCTCACTGTCTCACTGCACAGAGCAGGGCCCCCTGATCTGAAGGTCCCCTTGGAGCCAGTGTGAGGTCTTACAGGATTAGTGCACCACTGAGGACCCAGGGCTGTCTCCCCACCCCACCTCTCCCCCCACCCAGCCCCTGTAAGAGAAAACAGTGACTGTTGTTGCCACGGGCAGTTCCTGTCTGATCTGATCCAGGCCTGGGAGAGCTCAGCGGCTGTCATCAAGGTCAGACCGCTGAGGTCATAATTCGCATAGACCCTAGAGGAGGCGCATAGAACCTCGAGGAGACGCACTAGCAGCCATAACGCTTTCCTCCGTGTGGCAGATGCCTATCTGTCGTCATCACGGGGTCGTGCTTTAAGAAGTGACATTGCTAGCATTCAGGAGATGGTGCCGAGGTCCCATGTTTATGGAACCTTGAAATCCATTTGTTAAGGCGCTGGCAATTTCTCTGTCAAGACATGGTCTGTAGTAAGTCCGGACCAGAGGAGGGGCCTAGCAGAGTGTGTCATGGGTGACGTGAGGGACCACATGCGGCCATCGGCCCCGCCTGGAACCCCCGAGTGTCTGATGTGACCCGTGCTGTCTTTCTGTTCCAAGGTGTACAACCCGAGGATACGGGCAGACTCCCTGGTCACGCAGCCCATCAGCCGGAGCCAGGCCGACATGCGCAAGCAGCTTCTTGGCTCGTCCTCCTCAGGTAGCCCCACGGTCGTGGAAACGGCTGTAAATCCGTGACTGAAGGCGACCTAGGCGTGCTCACACCACCCTCTTCGGTTTCTTCTAGGCAAGCTCTTCTGTCTGTACTCCGAGGAGTTTGCCTCCAAGGACATGCGGCCACTCAAGCCGGCGGAGATGCAGGAGGCCAACCTGACCAGCATGGTGCTCTTCCTGAAGAGAATAGACATCGCAGGCCTAGGCCACTGCGACTTCATGAACAGACCAGGTAGCTTTGTGCTTGGCGGGTGCGGCCCGAGGCGGGCCCCCTCTCCTCTGCCCGCCACCAGGCCAAAGAGCAGGCGCCTGGGGCAGGCCGGGCCAGCGTGGGCTTGGGTTGTGCTCCAGCATTTCTGCCTTTAGAGAGCAGCATTCTCTGAAGGAGTTTGTTTAAAAGCTGCTAGAACTATCTGCCCGGACCGTGGAGAACCGTCTGCCACTGGCCCCTGGCGCCCGGGGGGCCGGGCCTGGAGACCCGCTGGCGGCTGAGTGTGGCCTCTGGATCTGCCGGCAGCGGGGGGCAGGGTACTTCGGGCAGCCTTCAGTGTCCCTGGTGGGACACGTGTCAACCAACCGTCCTTCCTCCTACATCGCACGGTCCCCCGGGGAGCACCCCGGAAGTTCCCTGCTTTGTGATTCAGGTGCAGCTCTTCCTGCAGGGCCGAGGCTCTGAAGCCGAGGACCAAGCTTGGGGTTTCAGGCCGGCCATGGTTCTCGGGATGGGGGGGATCTCTCCACGGAGGGTCCCGTCACCCAGAGGTGCCGCCGTCTCCCTCAGGGCCCCCCTGCCCTGGGCCCGCGGCCTCTCTGAGGAGCAGCAGAGGCCTGCGGAAAGGCCGAGAAGGCACGGGGCAGGCGGCTCCAGCGGTGTGCAGGGCGGCCACGGGCCTGCTCAGCTCAGGAAGGTTGGTCGGGACCTTGGGCCTTCTCACACGTTCTGCTACCTGGCGGGCGAACGCTGCCGCCGCTCTGCCTGCACGGTCCGGGGAACAGGGAGGAGCCTCCAACATCCACAGTCCGCGGCGAGGAAGGTGGGCAGGCGCAAATGCGGTCCTTGTTCTCATGCATTTAAGCACACGCCCGTCCTCCCGGGGCAGCAGCACCGTCTCACGCCCGCGCGGATGGTCGTCCGTGCTGCAACAACGCTTTGGGGGGGGGGATGCTCGGACTCACCCCATTTTACAGATGAGGAAACCGAGTCACAGAAATTAGGTCCCGCGCGCAGACGGAGGGGACTCTGCCAGAGTCTCCTTGAACACATAGGAGACCCGCGGGCCCAAACCTGTCTCCGGGTCGTCTGAGGGAAGGTCTGGGGTGCTTCTCCACCGCACCCCACCCCGGAGCCCGCAGGGGCGGGTCAGACGCGGCCTGCTGAGCACCGTCTTCCGCGGCTTGAGCAGGAAGGGGTGCCTTCCCTGGGTGCCCCCCGCCAGCCGCCCCCCCACACCCCGCCCCGGGAAGGCCCTTGCTAGGCCCCAGCGCGCCACAGGCCGCTTCCTCAGGCGGCCCTTCCCGCCGCGCGTCGGGGCCGTAGTCCCCGTGGGAGCGGCCGCTTCGATCCCGGCCCTGGCCTGGCGTCGCTGAAGCAGCCCGCGCTTGATGTCCGTAAAGCTCCCCGACCAAGAGCTGTGATGCTTTCGCTGGTGCTTCAGGCGCACGAGCGCGCTCAGACGAAGGGACTCCTTCCTGTCCCACTCGTTCCTGTCCCGCGTGTGAGACCAGCGGTTGCGGTTTCGCTGAGACTCCGGGGAGGGCGAGCGGCGCCTGCGGACGTGCTGCTCCTGGCCACACGTGCACGAGAGAGCCGCAGCCGGAAGGCCTCGCGCAGGGAGCGCGGCCGGAAGTGGCGGCCGGAAGGCCTCGCGCAGGGAGCGCGGCCGGAAGTGGCGGCCGGAAGTGGCGGCCGGAAGGCCTCGCGCAGGCTCTACTCTTCCGCGGAGCTTTCCCTCCGTTCCCGCGTTTTCCCGTCGCTCGGCCCCGCGGCGCCAGCAGGCTCGCAAGCGCTGCAGAAACGCTTTTGGCCTTAGCGCCAATCGGGTCCCCGAGGCTGGCAAGACACGGAGCTTCAGTAAGAGGAAGGTCCTCCAGAGGCGCCAGCCTTTGTGAAGAGGTGCCGAGAACTGACGAGGGACACGCCTCCGTTTGCAGCGGACGCGCCCACGTGCGGGGCAGCAGCTCCGGGGACCGCAGCGCCTGAGGATGTGACGCGAGGTTGTGGCCTGTGTGTTGGGGCCTCAGCCGGTGCGTTGGTTCTTAGAAGGGGAAGGAGGGGCGGGAACTGTGGGCCGCTCGCGGGGGTGGGGCCCGGGGACCTGGGCAGGCCCTCGGTGCTGGTGGCCGCATTCCCGTGGCCCCGGTGCCCGAACTTTCCAGCTTCCACCCGCCTTCTCCCGGTTGCCCTTCTGGCTGCTGAGGAACAAAGCGAGGGTCTCTGCCACGTGCGCCCATTTCTCGGGTTTCCCCTCGGTGACCTCAGAGCTTGCAACAGCGTGGCTTTTGTGGGAGGCCAATCGGCCACCGTGACCCCTGCAGCGACCTTCCGGAGACCACGCTCTGAAGAAACACGCTTCATTTGTGAAACTTGCTCTTCCAGCTCCCGTTCCGCTGCCCCTCTTGCAGGCCCAGAATCCCCACGTGCTGACTCCCTGGGCATCTTCTTGGCTCCAGACAGTAGATGTTTGGTGACGCACCGTCAAGATGGAAGAGATGCAGCCTCTGTACAAAGCCAGCCGCAAAGCACAGCAGCGGGGAAGAACCCCCCGTTCTCCCGGCGGCCCCTCCGCGCTGCCTATGCCTAGAGCTGGCAGCGGGGGCTGCAGGCTAGGGCCGCCGTTTACTGTCGGCTCCCGAGGACACGCACAGAACTGTGTCTGCTGTGCTGAGGGAAAAAGCTCACTGTGGATTCGCCCTGACTCATCAGTTCAGAAGGAAAAAAAGATGATGCTTGCAGCTGGTGCATTTAACTCAACTTACCACTGAACTACGCCAGCGCAGCCATCCTGTTACCCCTTTCAGGATCCATGAGCTGTGTGCAAGTGAATTTGGCATAACTAGGCTACAGGCTATTCATTGAACTCTGTTGATGTAGAGCTCTTCAAAAAAAAGAAAGAATCCATTGTTTTTTCTTCCCTGGTGCTGCAGGTTTATTTCTATCAGGAGCAACAGGATCACTGCTGATCAGGGTCAGGAGGCCCAGGGTCAAATGAGCACATGTTGCCCTCTGGGAAGCAATGGCACCTACACAAAAATTGGGGACAAACTAGCTGAAACCTACCAACCTGCCCCAGATGTCATCTTTGCGTCTGGATGCACAGTTCGTGTAGCTGCGACGACTGGCTTTGGAATGACCTGGGAAGAAGGAACCCACACACAGACTTGCCAGACGCGGTGGCAGGATGGGACTGGGTGGTCGAGGAGAAGGGCACGGACGTGGGGACGGAATCGCGTCACAGCCACGGAGGCCAGTGTTGGAGTCAGCAGAGCGAGGGATTAGAGATGCTGCAGGGGCTCAACCTGCGGAGATGCTGCAGGAGGTTCACCAGAGGAGTCGGGACTCAACGAGTCCAGATCTTTTAGAACCCTGTCTGCCACGGAAAAGCCACGTTTGTGTGCACACTGGCAAGCACCTCTGCTTGTCTCTGCATCGCTGGAAATGGGGGATTTTGCTTTGGGGTTTGCAAAAGTGTATTTAAATAGGACAGTCTGTACTCAGAGGAGAGAGAGGCGGAAGGGGCCAGACGCCACGTGCACATGCTGGTGCGTGTAGACAGCCTCACCGCAGAGCCCCCCGCCAGCTGCCGGCCGCTCCCCACAGCCCCGGACATGAGTGGAGAGCCCAACACCGCACGGGCAGGAACCCCCTCTAAAGGTCTGCATCAGTGACAGTCACGCTCGTGGAGTGTGTTGCTGTATTCGGTGGAGGGGGAGTGTGGAAAACAGGCACAAACACACTGGAACAACTCGGGAGCCGCTGAGCGAGGATCCTGGAGAGTCTCGGAAGCAACAAAGTAATTTTTAAGAAAGTGAAGAGGAGAAGGGAGAGACTGTAGAAGGCACAGAACAGAAGCATTTTCAACTCTTGATTCGCCTTAGGCTCTTCATGGGTCCCACATGCAGGGACTTACTCTCTAGGCCGGGATGCTGGAGGATGAAAGGGGACACTGTTGACGATAAAGCCGGGGCGAGCCACGGGAACCCGCCATACTCGGCCAGCCAGGGCAGAGGGGCCCAGGTGAGGGACCGCACCAGGAAGCTTGGGCTCCGGTCACAGCCCCCTGCTCCCCATGTAACATCAGCATTGTCAGCCCCTCGGGCCTCAGTTTCTTCATCTGAATGTGAGCATAATCAAAGTAATTGGTTTACAAAGTTGTCAAGATAAATCCATTTACATGACCGGCATGTAGTCAATCCTGTAGCTGTCCCCACCTGCGTGACTCTCACCTGAGCTCAGAACAGGCCTGTGGGCTCTGAGCAGCCGGGGTCCCATTCCCTAGAAGTCCCAAGACTTTAAAGTCTACACCGTCAGCCCAGAGCCATCTCCTAACTCGTCAGTCTCTCCTCCTGTGGACTCTGAGCTGTGCATAGTGCCCAAGTCCCAGTCCTAAAACCAGCTGGGACCAGAAACTTCGTTTTTCTTTAGTCCTCTCAAGCTGTGACTTCAATGCTATCTGTCGTCTTTCTCCGTGTGTGTGTGTGTGTGTGTGTGTGAGAGAGAGATATGAATGCAGGTACCAGGCACATAGTGAGAGCTTTGAGGGCAGCTGTTCTTGTTCCTTCCAGAGGCCAAAGTGGCCCCTACCTTTTCTAAGCTCCAGTGGCACTTGGAGACCCTGTTCCTTCAACACAGGATGATTCTGCTGTGGTGTATTAGTTAGAATTTCTCGGGACACCTGGGTGGCTCAGTTGGTTAAGCAGCTGCCTTCAGCTCAGGTAGTGATCCCAGCTTCCTAGGATTGAGTCCCATATCGGGCTCCTTGCTCGGCAGGGAGCCTGCTTCTCCCTCTGCCTCTGCCTGACACTCTGTCTGCCTGTGCTCACTCTCTCTGACAAATAAATAAAATCTTAAAAAAAAAAAAAAAGAATTTCTCTGGACGTGAGAGCCAGCCATGTGGTTCACAGTAGTGTAAACACAGTGGAGGAAGATAAGGAGATTGGGGTGTCCCGTGAAACCCAGAGTGAGAAGAAGTCAAGCCTCAGGAACACGAGAGACCTGAACAACCTTGGCAGAGTCTCATCTCCGTGTGTCTTGGGTCTTCTTTGCTCTTGTCAGTTCTCATGGCAGAATCCCGGCTGTGTTCTCCAAGCCTTGTGATGTCCGAGTCAGCCCCTGCACACTCCTGAGCTTCTCTTGGTCCAGACTCTGAAATCCCCAACATAGAGCGTCATGGGCTCAGTTTGAGCAGGGCCCCACCCCGAGCCAGGCAGCCATGGCTGGAGGTTAGTGGGAGTCTGGGAGGTGGTCACGGGCTACAGCATCCTGCTTCTTGGAGTGGGGGCGCACTTCCTGGAGAAGAGGCCCTTGGGGTAAAATTGCATTTCCGTACATTGGAAATTGGTTGTTGGTGTATGTGTGTGTCTCCCTCCTAAGACCTCCAACTCCAGAAGGGCCAAGATTGGGCCCGTCCATGTGTGCCCCTGCCCCCAGGGCCTCGCAGATGCCAAGAGCACGAGACACAAGTGGCTTGAGAAGAAGTGGGTGAATGAGTTGAATGTTATCCTTAAAAGGAAATACGTTAACAAGGCAGACCCTGGAGCTGGACTCTGCTCCTTTCTTTCCCTTAGTCCTTTGCTAGGTCTGGGCCGTGCGAGTGACGTGAGGTGCCTGTGGCTCTCTGGTCTGCGAGGGTGTCCTTCCAGGGCACGGCATGGAGCAGAGCTGGCCTGAGGGCACAGCTGGGTCAGCCCAGAGGGCCTGGGCTGCCCCTGCCTCATGCTGCAGCCGGTGCCCAGCAGGCGGTGGGAGCGGCGCTGTTGCCGGCGAGCCCCGTCCATGGCAAGGCTGGGTACGAGAGGGTCTGCTCCTGCCGGGCCGGGGTCGGGCCTTGCCGTGGGCGTGGTGTTCAAAATGCGTCTCTTCCGTTCGCCCGTGGAGGCCACCCTCTCAGATTCTTTCCAACTCCAGCCGCTCAGTTTGAACCTTAATCCTGGATCCTTAGTGGTTAGAGAGTAGGTTAAGGAGTATTACCTGGTGGGGGGCGGTGGGGGTAACCAGGGACAGTTGACCAAGGGAGACCCCTGCCCTGTTCTCCAGTGAGACGTCCGTTGGCACCGTTCCCACGGCTCACGGTTAAGCAGCTGCTGAGGAGAGTCTCGTCTAAACCCTTCTGCTTTGTAGCTCAGACGGTTTTATGAGCTGCTCTGGGAGGTGTGCAAGTGTGGAACGTAGCGTGAGCAAAGCCCGATCAGTTACTTCTTTTGTTCCTTCACCGGCGTAACCTACATTCATTACCTTGTTCCTTCTGATATAAGAAAACCCAAGGACATCCTCTTTTCTCCTGACGTCAGGACAGGAACAGAATGATGAAGTTACTCCTCCTCGTAATCCTGTGTGCAGTCAACTCAGCTGCAGGGCATAAAAACGAGGTGCAGGTGCCCTTTGGGGACACAGCCTGGCTGCGAAGCCAGATGCTTACGGGTAGTTGCCAAAGATCCTGTAAGTTATAACGCAGCAGGTTTGCTGATTTATAGAAATTGGTTTCTAAACAGTTGTCAGTAATTAAGTTTGTGCTCTCAGCACCCTCCTGCTGTGTTTAATCTGAGACGCGAGAGTCTGCGACCGCCTCTCGGACCTTCTCTGGCACGTCAGCTGTTCTGTCATGGCTCACTGAGAGAACTCTTGGACTTTTTTTCCTGAATAGCCCATCTGTCTCCTTCCCAGGACTGTGACTTCTCAAGGTCTTTGTTGCCCAGGGGGCTGTCCAAGAGGGGAGGAGGAGTGCACCGGTGCTCCGTGCGGACACCCAGGCAAGACAGAGGGGCAGAATCTGGGCAAGGACAGGAATCTCCTGGGAGGCCTGCCCTGCTACGTGTTAAATCTCTGAGAATTCAAAAGCAGTAGGAAAGTTAATGTTCTTCTCTCCCGGCTGGGGATTAAAGCTGAGCGCCAGGGCATTGAGCAGGTTTCTGGGGTTCAGGCAGGTTCTCGGAGGGGCTACTTCTTAAGAGCCCCTGCAGCCCCGACACCTGCTTTTCCAGAACTAAGCTTTTGCTCACGACTGCTGTGTCTCCGGTTGAGATCAGGACTCTTACATGCTCTGCTCTTCTTCACCGAAAGGTCTAGAGACTTGGCGAACTGCCCATCAGCATCATCGAGCCATTTCTCCCCCAACAGCAGTGGTTTTTCCCCGTGTTTTCATGGTGTCTTGTTAGCAACGAGGGGTTCTAGCAAATCTGAGTTGGTGACTGGCTTTGGAGTTACACCGTTTGCCTGAGTTTTGACAAGTAGCTTAGCGGTCAGTGTTGGAACAGCAAATAAGGTTATTTTTATTGTTATATCGAACTCCCGGATGCAAGTAGGTGAAATTGCCGCTTGGGTCCCCATCGTGTTCATCTCCTGCTCACGGCGCACCTGCTGGAGTTGAGACAGTGAAAGCGATCTGGAGGTGCTCGGAAATCCTTCAGTGTCTGGGGAGGAACACAACAGCAGCTTAATGCTCTGCTTTGCTTCTTTGTGTGGCCTGCATTGGCTCTACCACCTGCCGGACAGGTGAAAAACACTATTTATTAATCTCATCTTATTCTGCAAGGCCAAGAATACCTTGCTTTGAATAAATGGATTATCTTTTTTGGTGGGGATTAGCATATATGATGAACACGTCATTACTGATGTTGTATAAACTTAAAGAAGAAATACGGGTCTGGAGCAAATCATCCTGCTGACAAGTAACTCTTGAACATCCTTGCCTACTATTTCTGTCATCTCTCCAGGTTCTGGGTCAGTTTCAGTGGATTAATTTTTCTCTTTATTATGGGACTGTATTTTCTGTTCTTCATGCCTCATGATGTTTTATTGGATGCTAGACATTGTACATTTTGCTGTGGTGGGTATTAGATATTTTTTATTCTTTTTTTAAAGATTATTTGACAGAGAGAGATCACAAGTAGGCAGAGAGGCAGGCAGAGAGATGGGGGGTTATCAGGCTTGCCGCTGAGCAGAAAGCCTGATGCAGGACTCGATCCCAGGACCCCAAGATCATGACCCAAGCTGAAGGCAGAGGCTTAACCCACTGAGCCACCCAGGTGCCTGATATTTTTTATTCTTATACTCTTGACCTTTACCCTGGGTTGCAGGATGATCCTTTCAGGTCCTGCTTTTCAGGTCCATTAGCTGACACTGGAGAGTGTACATCAGGTTGGTGGGAGCGGGGGCTCTTCCCTTCCACGTCTCCTACCCAAGGCCCCACGAACTGTGCAATTTCCCAGTCCAGTGGGTAGAAATGGGGGTTATCTTAGATCTCACTAGAGCAGCTGGCACTGTCCCTCTAGTCCCCTGGATGGTTCTGGGACCCGACACAGCTTCTTCTGCATGCTCTGCTGATGAGTCGAGACCTTCCGTGGATCTTCTGCATCTTCTTTCTATATGGCTCCTGTCAGGTACCCCACCTGCAAGCTCCCTGGGCCCTCCAAACTGTCTTCATGACACAGGGAGTCCAACAGGCCCCACCAGGTCCCCTTCTGGCGCTGCAGCAGGAAACTGTCGAGGCCTCACGCTGGGCAGTCATGGCGCTCACGTCGTTAGCGTCCCCCTCTCAGAAATCACTCTCCTTCACTGCCTGACATTCTTGGTCTCGCAGGCCGTTTTTTGCCCACTGTTTGGGAGGGGAGGTCCAAGACCTGTCACGCCATCTTGTTTCTAGGAGACGGTGATGATTTTTTCCCTCTGCTAGCCCCAGAGAGTTTGATGCAGGCCCTGGAAGACCTGGATTACCTGGCAGCACTGGACAATGACGGGAACCTCTCGGAATTCGGGATCATCATGTCGGAGTTTCCTCTTGACCCGCAGCTCTCCAAGTCTATCCTAGCCTCCTGCGAGTTTGACTGTGTGGAGGAGATGCTGACCATCGCCGCCATGGTGACAGGTACTCCTCGGAGAGCGCTGCTCTTTTGTGTCCTGTCTGTCCTGGCTCTAGAGTTAAGCTAGAGCTGTCTGAAATAGTTTAAGAACCTAACAGAGACTTTGACCAATTCATTTAACCCTTTCAAGTGATAATGAAGTGCTTTAACAGATATAAAAGGTAGAAAGATTAATTATCTTAATATAAAAAAAATCAGTCAAATCCAGTGAATTTGTTCATCAGACACTGAAAGAAAAATGTGTCACTAGACGTGTTCTTCCCTAACAGACTTACGTGTTGCTGTTTCCCGCGTCCTTCCATCTTCTTACTTTCTGTTTTAATATGTTCTTTTACTGGCAGCACAGGCCTAAGGCTGCAGTGGGGCCTCTGAGCGGCTCCGGTCCCCGGGTGTGCCCCCGTTCTGACTGTGCTTCCAGCAGGGGACTCACACTATACCTGACGGAGGCAAACATAAATAGGGACAAGAACAGCACCCTAAATCTGATTTCTAAGTAAGCAAGAATAACATTTGTTAAAAGAAGTAGACAGGAACGGTTCCAGACACACAGCAGTGAGCCCCTCCCCTCTGCGTGTTGTGTTCAGGTCACAGGTCTCCAGTCTTGCTGACCTCGTGACCTTTTGTGTCTTAAAGCTCCCAACTGCTTCTCTAATGTGCCACATGGAGCTGAGGAGGCTGCCTTGACTGGTTGGAAGACGTTTTTACATCCTGAAGGAGATCACTTTACTCTCATCAACATTTACAAAGCCTACCAAGACATAGCTCTGAACTCCACCAGTGAACGTAAGTGAATGCTTGTGATCCTGAGAAACTCATTTCCACTTTTCTTTCCTCAAAGAAAACCGAGGTGTTCCTCACCCTTCCCTAGCCCTGCTGGTCATCCGGGTGGAATGGCGCTCGAGGCCCCGACCGCGCCTGCTGCCATGCGTGTCTGTGCGCGTGGACCTCCAGCGCTTGGCCCAGCCCGCCTCGGAGCCAGCTCGGGCGCACATGACGTGGGGACACAGAGACTTGCATGGCACAGCTTCCACCCTCCAGGGTCGGGGAAGGAACTGCCGTCTCTGGGGGCCCCGGGGTCAGAGCTGTGCTTTGTGCTTCCCCTAACATCCACATTCACTCCCAGGCAAAGAGAGGATGCAGACGTTCAGAACCAAACCAGCCAACCAGGCCCCAGATCCCAGGAACAAGTCAGTGGGTTGCCGAGGGGGCTGGAGAGAACAGGACTGGGGTTTGGCCAAGGGGAGGGGAAGAGGGGAGGAGGGGAGCGGGCGTGTGCAAAAGCTGAGAAGTCCTGGTGCTGACCGACAGCGAGCGTAGGAATTTCCACAAGAGGGACCCAGGGAAAAGGGAACCGGAAACACCTCTCCATGAGTCTCCCTTGCCTGGCTTTAAAGACGGGAAGTGGATCCCAAAGGGCCGACGGGCAGAGCAGTGGGCACAGGCTGGGGCCTTCAGAGGCAGCCAGCGAAGAGCTCCCTTCCTGCAAGGAAACCTTCGTTTTCCCTGAAGCATATTTACCTCCTTTGCTCTGGTAGGATGAAAAGTGAGCTGAAAAAGATGACAGCAGTTCGCATAGCAGTAGAATTAGAGAGCAGGGAGTTAATTTTTTGGAGCTGAGAAGATAAAGTCAGTGGAGCCAGAAAGGATAGGGGGAGCTTGGTGGCATCTTTTGAGAACACGGAGGGTGGGTGCCATTGTTTGCCCAAGTACGTGCTCTTTTTGCTCCAAAGAGCTCTGAGTATACCGGACAGGGTCACCCAGGGTCTTCTGCTTGCTGTGTGAAGGCCATATGCATTCCCAGCGCAAGGCAGAACTCTAGGTCCATCTTAAGTAACTACAGGTAGCAAGAAAGTGTTAACCAGGTGACTGAATTTTAATATAATATTTGCAGGGCGCCTGGGTGGCTGTCATTCAGCATCTGCCTTCGGCTCAGGTCATGATCCCAGGGTCCTGGGATCAAGCCCCACATCGGGCTCTCTGCTCGGCAGGAAGCCTGCTTCTCCCTCCTCCACTTCCCCTGCTTGTGTTCCCTCTCTCACTGTGTCTGTCAAATAAATAAAAATCTTTAAAAAAAAGATACACACACAACACATATATAAAATTTGCACCTAGAGCAGATAGGTGAGCTTAACAGAATTCCCAAATCAGCCTAGTAGTGATCCTTTTTTTATACTGAGATACTTTCATGGCTTAAGGTAACTTGTACCATATACTTTCCCTTCCTAAGTTGAGTAAACGTGGCCCTGGACATCCTCACGCTTAGCACGAGACAAAAGACAAATATTGATCAGAGACCCCCTCCTCTGTCCCCTTCACAGCTGCTGATGAAGGGTGACACACTGGTCGGCACTAGAACATACTGTGCCCAAGGTTCGGTGGGCATCCAGAACCCCCACAGCCAGAGCAAGTCCCGCCAGCTAGCCTGTGTCCCTGCAGCCTCCTCCCCGCCGCTCACGTGACCTCTTTAGGAGAAGCGTGCAGAGGACAGAGATCACCCCTCCATCCTGGCCTGGACTCTTACTGCTTATAGCACATCAGCTCTGCTTCTTTCCCTCTAGACTGTGTTGAAAAGTGGTGTCATGATTACTTCCTCAACTGCTGTGCTCTGAGGATGGCAGACGTCATCCGAGCTGAACTCTTGGAAATTGTCAAGCGAATCGAGCTCCCCTGTGCAGAACCTGCTTTTGGCTCAAAGGAAAATGCTCTGAACATAAAGAAGGCTCTCCTGTCAGGCTACTTCATGCAGGTGAGAGTGGGGCTGGCAGCCTTGGTGTGGGCTTTCCCGAATCTCACCTGTCCGCGACGGTCGGTCAGGAAGCTCTCGCCTAGGATTCTGTTGGTGGTGGTAACTTTAAATAAAACTACAAACCTTCTATGTTACTAAAGATTTAGTATTTAAATATACTTCCCCTCAAGGGAATTGAAGGGCTAAGTCAGAGTATGTTCACTTTGTCCAAAAGGACAGGAGGCCTGTTCTCACTGCAGCGGGGACGCTAGGAAAGCATGCGCTGTGGCCGAGCTTCAGGTACAGTCCCTCATCTCGCTGGTCTGTGAATTAGCTCACATTTAACCGGTGACACTAACTCCCAGCCAAGAAATAAAGGCAGGGTCTCATTTGTTTCATCCCCCAAATGAAGGCTGCCTCATAACGCAGCCCCCTCAACTGAAGCACGCCGCCGCCATGTTCTTCACGTCGCAGTCGGAGAAGCTGTGGTGTTTCCTCTCCAACTCTAAAGTGGTCTTAATCGAGAAAAAAATGACATTTTAACATGAATTTCCTCATCACGTACAGAAAAAGGTTCCTCCATCACAGTGTTACTGTACTGACTGAGCTAAAACATGCGGCCCATAATGTGGCAGGTACCGCGCCAGCATGCACCGCGCAAACGTTCGCCTTTGCAGCCGCGCTCTTCACCCACCGCCTGAAACTGCTGACGTTAGGATGTCATCGCTGTCTCAAAGTTCTGGGCAAAACCTGTTTGGGGCTTAATTTTTAGGTCTGAAAATAGGAAACATGGGTGGCAGATATGTAATTTTCACGATTTTGAACAAAACACTTTGGAGTTTTTTTAAAGAAAACATTTTTGTCCATTATCTCCATCTTAACACAAAATCTTTTTCCCCAACACTGCCTGGTAGACCGCGCGGGACGTGGATGGGTCGGGTAACTACTTGATGCTGACGCACAAGCAGGTCGCTCAGCTGCACCCGCTGTCCGGCTACTCCGTCACCAAGAAGCTGCCAGAATGGGTGCTCTTCCACAAGTTCAGCATAGCTGAGAACAACTACATCAGGATTACCTCAGAAATCTCTCCTGAACTGTGAGTTTAAGAGAAAAAATGAAGTTCTTTTCAACTCATACTTGAGCAAATGACCCATTTGGCTCTTGGGACATTTTCTGTGAGCTTACGCTGGCCCAGTTCCAATTTGTGCCGAGCATCCCTACTTAGAGCAGGTCTCTCCAAATGAGTGTATAAATGCCCCTCTCTTTGGGATCACAGCCCGCAGAGGGGCTCCTGGCGGACTGTCGGTGGGGCAGGCGATGCCTGATCTCGGTCAGGGTCATGAGTTTGAGCCCCGTGTTGAGTGTAGAGATTACTTTAAAAAAAAAAAAAAAAGTGAAATATAGAACAGAGCATAATGCGTCTTAAAAGACATAGAAAGCTGCAGAGAAATAGTGTTTGCAGGTGCAGACCTTGAGGAATGAGCTCAGCCCCCTCTCAGAAGAGATGTGCCACTGAGACCAGGGCTAGTGGGGAAGAGAGCAGGGAAGGGGAGGTGAGAGACGGGTGGGTACCAGAGGTGTAGGGCTTGTGGGCCACGTGAGGGCCTGGAATTTATCCTAAGCACAGTACGAGACGATTCGAGAGTCTTAAACAGGAGTAACATCCTCTCCATATACTTTTAAGGATGATTCTGTGGCTACGTGAGCGAACCACAGGGGCAGTAGTGAGAATGAAGACCAGACTCTTGGTGCCACTGCAGGTGTGGGTCTCCTGCACGTGCACTCCTGCCTGGACAGTGATGTTCAGGGCAGGAACCAAAAGTAACTAGAAGGTGGATGGGAAGTGGTTTTTGTTAATAAGACACAGAGGCAAAGACACCCCCCCTCTTACCTACCCAAATCTCTCAGGAACACCTGATCTGTCTTTCCCATGTTGTGCTGGGCATCACCCACTGTGTGGCATAACACTAGAGAAGCCAACATATTCTAGAAATGCAATTGGATTAGTTCCATGAAAACCACAGGAAAAAACCACAGGAAGTATTTATTCCGCAAAGGCAGACGGGAGACGGAAGAGTTCAAATTAAATACCAGGTCTACAATGAGATTCTTCCGGAGTAGAAGTTCCCACATGTAATGTTTGTAGCTCTCCCCAAAAAAGGAAAAAAAAAATCTCACCTTTATGTTTTCAACAGATTTATGCAGCTGGCACCACCATACTATTTCAGCAACCTGCCTCCTAGTGAAAGTAAGGATATTCTCCACCAAGTAATGGATCACCTTTCCCCTCTTTCAACAATGAAAAAGGACCAGAAAATGTGTGAGAAGTGCCCTGAGACTACTGAGCCAAGATGCACCGTCCAGTGACTCTTTAGAACCTTCTACAGAAAGCAAGATGTGCAATAAGTCCCGCCCCTGCCCTCCCCCAGCTGGCCTGAACGTCGTTTCACCAGAGTGAGGTGCAGACATTCAACTTGAACAAGGACAGCACACCCCACACGAGTGTCTTGAAAAAAATAACACTTTGTATATTATTTAAAAATAAAAAATAGAAGTTTTTATTGAGTTCTTTAAATTACGACTCCACGTTTTCCTTCTTACTGGAAAAGCTTTTAATCCACCAATCATAATTCGACCAAATTTTTTTTAAAAGCTATTTTGTAAATGTGTCACAGACACAAGTGACAGACCCCTACTTTTTTGTAGAGGACCTTACTCTGAATAAAGTCTGGGTTTTTTTCAGTAAATCTGAGCTGTTTTCTGGTAATTTTACAAACCCAAAACCACCCCATTACTGTCCACGGGAAACGGGTCAGAGAGAGAGATTCTCCCTCAGTTTATCCATGATTGCGTTCATCCTGTCACCTGGAATCAACATCACGGTTCGCAAGGGCTTCATCGAGACGTCATCAAAGGACCACCTGCCTCCCAGACGAGTGTCACTCTCTTCCTGCACTGAGTAGTTAAACTTCAGGATTGCTTTCTGAACCAAAGATACAAGTTAAAAATTCAGACAACCTAAAGGCAAAACTTACTTACATGGCAGCCAGGAATACTATTTGACGTGTTTAAGAATGACAGTGAACAACAACGAAAATAATAGTGAACAGAAGCAAAACGTGGAATAAAATAAACTCAAATGGGATATGCAGGTAGAAGTTACAAAATGCTTACCAGATTTCTAACCTACAGAAGCGTGGAGAGCAGGGTCGCAGTCCTAAGAGGTGAACAGCAGCTAAGTGACATATGCTACTACCATTTCTAAGTGTTTATAATTCTGAAGTCCCTCATATTCATTCATATTCATTCTCATTTGATTCTCAATCTTTCAACAGAAAAGTGAAATAAAGACTTGTAACATTTGAAAGTTAATGAAAAGAATGGTCTTCAAACACGGGTGTTTCCCCACTGTCTTGGCTGCTCCCTTGGAGTCAAGCCATGTGAAAAGAGGGAGGTCTGCATAAGCAGGCCGTCTTAAAAAACCCATCCAGCCTGCCCCGAAACACTCTAAGGTGCTCAGGCATAAAAATTTAACTTTCACTATTTACTTCTTAAAAAAACAAGGGCAGAGCTGAACCTGTGGTACTTCAGTGTTTAGTCAAAGGCTTTTTAAAAAGTAGTGACAGATGCGGGCGCCTGGGGCCCTCAGTCAGTTAAGCATCTGCCTAGGGCTCAGGTCATGATCTCAGGGTCCTGGGATGGAGCCCTGTGCAGCTCCCTGCTCAGCGAGGAGTCTGTTTCTCCCTCACACATTGTGCTTACTCTCCCTCCCTCTCAAATAAATAAAACCTTAAATTAAAAAAAAAAAAAAAGTAGTAACTGATGTTCTCTAATCCAGGAAAGTAAGTTACCCCTCGGATTTACTTAGCAGGTCAGGGTGAGAAAGCGTATTCTCTGGTATCTGGTTGCCCATCATGGCACAAGCCATCTTTCTGCAAGAAAGTGCTAGGAATCCCACAAGTGGGAGGACATCCAGGACCGAGGGCACAGAGAACCATATAAGCCACCACTGGGGAGCAGGGCCTGCCCCACCTTTCACATTAACGGCCTGCATGACCTCAGATAATGGCTCTAATCTCCCTCAGACTCAATGTCCCCCATCAGTAAACCAGGACCAACGTCTCCCTCATAGAGTGATCCTAGAATTACAGATCTTCTAGTGAGCGTATTGAGTGCCTGATCACCATTCAACGTTCATGACTTTTCTCCTCCCACGCTCTGCCCTGGGGGCTGGAGGGCTGGGGACGAACCTGCTGGGCAAAGTACTAGGTGTGGGGAATGCATCAGCCACAGCTGCCAACAACATGGAGACACGGCCGCTGTCCTCCGAGCACTGTGCCATAAACCGGGGAGCAGTCGATCCTGCCTATTGTCAAGAAAATCCTTGTTTACATTCAAACAAATAGATGACAACAGGACAGTCTTACCTCATAAAAAAATTCTTCCTCTGCATTGGCAAACATTAATTCCTCTTTCTCTTGGTTATTCCCTTTCTTTCTGGAATTGTTTTTTCCAGCTTCCACAAACGTCTTGCTTATCAGAAGGTAGAAGTAACACTTCCCACATGGCTTGTTAGTTTTGTGTGCCTCTGCTAGTTCTTTCCTACAAAGTAGAACAGAGCCTACTGAGCCCGGTGAAACCCATCCACAAACCAGAGCACAGGGCAAACCAGTGAGGCCTCTGCAGGGCTGGGGTCTGTTGTCTCAGACACAGGCTTGATGGACAGAGATCGGATCTGGACACTTCTAAAGCCATGAGTTTACCTATGTGGTCCCCTGCACTGTGATGGACTATGGCCGTGTTTTACAGGACGCAGTGGGATGTATCGCTCAGGCGATGCTAAGCTGTGGACACACAGCAAATAACAGGAGTCTCACATTTATCAACGTCACTGCTCTGCCTCTGCAGATATTAAAAATAGGTAAGAATCTGGATTTTTAAAAACAAATGTTTAAGAGAGCATCAACCAATGTCATTAGAGCATGTGATGACCAGTCTCCAAGCACCAGAGCCCAGAACTATGATGAGTCTTGGCATACTGCAGAAATGGCATGACAGGACAGATTCCCCTAGATTCTAGAAGAGTCCGTGGAGTGGCAACATAGCCTTCGGAAAACTGTGCATGTCCCTGTGCATCTGGCTAATCAAAGAAGTAAAGACTTCAGCTTTCTTTAACAGAGGACCTGGGGAAAGCACATCCCCCTCCCGTGAAACCAAATAAACATGAGCGCCACCGGATCAGGAAAAGGAAAAAAAAGCAAATGGAAAAACGGGAGCTGGGCATCGGGGGAGGGCAGGGTTGAGAGTAAAACTAGTAAGCAACGAACCTGTTCAGTGGGAACCCTGAAGGGTCACCTGTCCTTATATGCCCACCACTGGCTAGCGGGCACGCAGTACCATGGCCCTGGAGCAAGGGCGTCCATCTGGATTTCCATCCTGCTCTACCCCAAAGCACTGCAACCCCAGTCCTTAGCTCTTAACAATTAAAATGTTGTAAACCTAAAAAACCTCCGCATTAAGAAAGTACAACAGGGGCACCCGGGCGGCTCAGTCTTAAGCTTCTGACTCTTGGTTTCGGCTCAGGTCATGATCTTAGGGTCATTTTAAAAAAACAAAAAAACCCACAAAGAAGTAAAAACAGCAAACCCCCAAACACGAGAGACACAGTATCAGGACTGCTGCCTCCTTCGTTACAGAACATCCCAGTGGAACTGAAGAGTTGTACTGGTTTGTTACTGGACTGTTCGGCACCGTGTCCATGTCACGGAAATCCGGCAAGAGGATGACAACTTTAGACCAGTAGGGGGCAAAAAACCTATATAAACTCGTCTGTGTTTACACCCCGCACACCTGGTAAGACTGTTCATACGTCACAAGTCACGAAGGAGCCCACTGTCAAGAAGGGACATGCCCCCGGGAGGAGGGGGCCTCTGCTCACTGGAGCCGCGAGGCCGCCAAGACCGTCACTGGCTCGAAAGCCCTGCGCGGACCCCACCCCACCCCCGGGGCATAGCCACCAAGGAGGCAGGCGGCGCAGGCTCTTACTGGAGCTGCTGATGCATGGGCAGCGCGATCTGAGGAGGGACGTTGATGAACCTCTCGCTGAGGAGCAAGCCCACGGGCTTGGAGGTGTCGTTCAGATGTGCGTCCAGCTGTTCCACCAAGCTCTTCCCACAGCTCTTCTCACAGGAGCTCAGGAGCAGCTCTTTAATCTGCTCGGCACACTGGGTGCCCTAGGAAGCCAAGACAAGGTCGCTGTTCGGTACAGGCCACACCAGGAGCAGAAACCAGAGCGCTGAATATCACCTTCTACCGAACCGTGAGGGCAGTCCCCTGCCACCTCCCTTAAAGCCCGCCTGTCCTCCGTGCTGACCGCTCAAGCATCTCTCCAAGTCTCTACACCTGGTCATTTACGGTCCCACGAGCAGTGGTGGCAGCGAGACACCACACACAAGAACAGCAATTCCAGTCCATCTTGTAAAGACAGATGGGAATAACTGGAAAGTTCACAAAAAACCTGAAGGTGAAGTTTGACATGAACTCCTTCTGACGAAAGTAAACAGCTGGTTTTCCCTTTTTATTAAAACTCATTGAGGGACGCCTGGGTGGCTCAGTCATTAGGCGTCTGCCTTCAGCTCAGGTCATGATCCCAGAGTACTGGGATCAAGTTCCACATCGGGCTCCCTGCTCTGCAGGAAGCCTGCTTCTCCCTCTCCTACTCCCCCTGCTTCTGGTCCCTCTCTCCCTGTGCCTCTCTCTGTCAAATAAATAAATAAAATCTTATAAAAAAAAAAATTCAGAGAGTCTGTAGAGATGAATGGAAACACGAGTAAAGGTCAGAACTTGCTGCAGGAAGCAACGAAGCCTACAAGGAAAGGAAGAGCCGCAGGCCGGCAGAGCCACTAGCTCCGGGATTGATACCAACACCAGGACCCCAGTTCTGGATGGTTCTCTACACCCCAGGGAGCCAGGACTTTCACGACAGAGATCATTCAGCACAAAAACACTCTCATGTTAAAAAAGATTACAGTGGGGCGCCTGAGTGGCTCAGTCAGTGAAGCGTCTACCTTTGGCTCAGGTCATGATCTCAGGGCCCTGGGATCGAGCCCCCTGTCAGGCTTCCTGCTCAGCAGGGAGTCAGCTTCTCCCTCCCCCTCTCTCAAATAAAATCCTAAAAATAAGATTACAGTAAGAGTTCACAAAAGCACATATCCTTATTGTTGTTAATTTCAAGGTCTGACATAAACAGCACCATCACCATGTATTAAACAGAAGTGACTGGGGTCTAAGGCACAGGTACTAGATGCCACCCGTGAAACCAACCTTTCTTTCAGTTAAATTTAAAAGACTTATGAATCCAAAAATCTCATCTTCATCCACATCGTCATCGCTGTCTTCTGAAACATCCGTTTGCTATTTTAGAAAGAAAAAGAATTAAAACTGTATGCCTGGTTGGGAGGAAGCAAAACACCAACTCACACTGCCGTTTTCAGACACTTTCCGTAGCTGCCGTCGCCACGGGGAAGCAGCACACACTGAGGACCGTGGGCCTTGTCCCTACCGACTCACCTGTCT